AAGGTATTTGTGATCGCTAGATTGGTCGATGGATATTTTAGCTGGTGGTTACAATCATGAAAACTGCAGAAAGGTTCTCCGCCATAAATTTGTAGCCGGGTGTTAAAATCCCCGGTCTATGCGACTTCTCAGGACTGTGGGGCCGAATGATCAGTGGTAGGAGGCCAACCTACAGGACTGTACTCAGAGGTGGTACGGAGGGAGTGGGAGTATTATCTGCCATGCACGACTGATGTTCTATTTTTTGCCGAATTTTAGATTTCATGAATTTTTGTGAGACATGATAGATATATTTAGAAATAGTATTAGCCAACTTCATGAACAAGTGGTTCTCAATTATAACTTATACATTTGTAGTAAAATATTTACTATTTTTTTTTTCAGTTTGTTGTTTTGGACAGACTGGGGAAGTGAACCAAAGATTGAGAAATCCAATTTAGCAGGTTACAACAGACAAACCCTGGTGCACTATGGACTTGTGTACCCAAATGGATTGGCTATCGACTATCAAACAAATAGGTGACTATTCCAATATGTAGATTGTATGTGAAATAGGGCAATGAAGTTTTATCATGTGTGAATATAACCCTGGATCCATGACGTTGTTAGTGGGCTTATTATATTCGGTTGCTTGACTGCCCACTCAACACCGCCATGGATCCTATTGCGCAAATTTCAGAGGAATGCGCAGCAAAAAGTAGCGCAGTAGTTGTGGGCTAACAAATGTGCTTGCTGCAAGTACGACTCAAGAAATTAAATATAAATACCCAACTCAGAGTGATTTTGCATTAGTTTGCTGTGCGACAGCGACCAGCCGTAAAACGTTCGGTGTTACAAATACTGAACACTTTGCGCATGCGCACTGTACAATAATAAAATCATATGACCTGTCAGGTGATTGTTTGCAGTTTGCACATGTGCACAACGTTCGGCTACCAAACTGGTTTCTTGTTTTGCGGTTTTTCGTTGTGGTACAATGATCTCGCACAAAATTGCTCTAAAGTCGTATGAATGGGTGATTTGTAGTGTCACATTTTATTGCTAATAATCAATACATTCGTTCTGACATGTTTTAGTCTAGAAAGGAGTACACTTCTGTTCCTAGTCAAAATGCTATGGAAGGATCCATGGCGTTGGTAGAGCGGTCAGTCAAGCGACCGATGTAAATATCGTCCACTCGACACAACGACATGGGTCCATGGCTAGTGTGAATAAAGAGAACAGTTTTGATCACATATAGAATAGTTTTATCACTTGAATGAATGAGGGCAATATAATTATAATATCACGTGTATTGCCGAGGGTAATAGTTTTGATCACATGGATGACTGTATGACCCTGACACTGATGCAGGGATGAGAATTTTCCACGGATCTGCGGAATTCCGCGGATTTCTAAGCTCCAGGGATCGATTATCTGAAACGTCTAAATCCGAAGAGAAAATTTTAGGGCGGGTAAGAATAAAAACCTTGTTCATTCACTGGAAGTAAACACTCTGTCGGGTCATTGTTGTTGGCTGCAAGAGGCCTGTATCAGTGTATGTTCAAAGGGAGACAACTCGCGGTGTCTCCAATGCGGAATGTTCGCAACTCTTTTCATCAGTGCGTAAATCTGAAGTGGTTTCGAAGTGTTCGAAGTAATATGTAACGATTAACATGATTGGCTGGGTTTGCTCTGACGGACCAATCAGTGAAGAGCTTTTCACCAACAGCGTCATTTTATTGTTTTAATTGTTATCTGCGTTGGATCGTTGTTTACAAGTTTCATGCAGCAATAATGGTGAAATTGGTTACAAAAGACAACGAGTCAGCTGTGCGAGAGATCGATAAAGACATTAGGAACAAATTTCGTTGAGCATGGCTTGACAAGGAAGTGATTTTGACTGTGCGAATCGGGAAGAAAGATGAAGTGGTTCATCGGAAAGTGTGAGGTCCCGGGGAAGGCGTAATGTCTGTATTGTAATGATTTGATCAACTACGGTTCTCGGACCCCAGCTACTTCACTTTCAGCTGAAAATTAAAATTCTCATTCTCATCCCTGCTGATGTGTATGAAAGAGGGGCAATAGTTTGACTTGTGCAGCTGACAGGACGCATGATGGCACAGTCCTCACAGAAATACTGTAGTCTATAGAAATGTATATTCAGAATAAGCTTAGGCAGTCAATTCGTGTATGAATAATATCTAATGTGATTATAAATATTTGTCTAAATTCAGATTGTATTGGATTAATGTGGACAATGCAATACAGTTGGTCAGCACCATATCATCTTGTGATTTTGATGGCAATGATAAACAAGAACTGCACAGTGAGTCTGTCTACTCAGCATGGTACTTTGATCTCACTATCTATGAGGTAAGTGAGTCTGTCTACTCAGCATGGTACTTTGATCCCACCATCTATGAGGAAAGTGTGTCTGTCAACTCAGCATGGTACTTTGATCTCACCATCTATGAGGTGAGTGAGTCTGTCTCCTCCGCATGGTACTTTGATCTCACCATCTATGAGGTAAGTGAGTCTGTACTACTCAGCATGGTACTAAGATCTCACCATCTATGAGGTAAGTGGGTCTGTCAACTCCGCACGGTACTTTGATCTCACCATCTATGGGGTAAGTGAGTCTGTCTACTCAGCATAGTACTTTAATCTCACCATCTATGAGGTAAGTGAGTCTGTCAACTCAGCATGGTACTTTGATCCCACCATCTATGAGGTAAGTGAGTCTGTTTACTCAGCATGGTACTTTGATTTCATCATCTATGAGGTAAGTGAGTCTGTCAACTCAGCATGGTACTTTGATCTCACCATCTATGAGGTAAGTGAGTCTGTCAACTCAGCATGGTACTTTGATCCCACCATCTATGAGGTAAGTGAGTCTGTTTACTCAGCATGGTACTTTGATTTCATCATCTATGAGGTAAGTGAGTCTGTTTACTCAGCATGGTACTTTGATCTCACCATCTATGTGGTAAGTGAGTCTGTCTACTCAGCATGGTACTTTGATCTCGCCATCTATGAGGTAAGTGAGTCTGTTTACTCAGCATGGTACTTTGATCCCACCATCTATGAGGTAAGGGAGTCAGTCTACTCAGCACTGTACTTTGATATCACCATCTATGTGGTAAGTGAGTCTGTCTACTCAGCATGGTACTTTGATCCCACCATCTATGTGGTAAGTGTGTCTGTCAACTCAGCATGGTACTTTGATCTCACCATCTACGGGGTAAGTGAGTCTGTCAACTCAGCACGGTACTTTGATCTCACCATCTATGAGGTAAGTGAGTCTGTCTACTCAGATGGTACTTTGATCTCACCATCTACGGGGTAAGTGAGTCTGTCAACTCCGCACGGTACTTTGATCTCACCATCTATGAGGTGAATGAGTCTGTCAACTCAGCATGGTACTTTGATCTCACCATCTATGAGGTAAGTAAGTCAGTCTACTCAGCACTGTATTTTGATCTCACCATCTATGAGGTGAGTGAGCCTGTCAACTCAGCACGGTACTTTGATCTCACCATCTATGAGGTGAGTGAGTCTGTCTACTCAGCACGGTACTTTGATCTCACCATCTATGAGGTAAGTAAGTCTGTCTACTCAGCACTGTACTTTGATCTCACCATCTATGAGGTGAGTAAGTCTGTCTACTCGGCATAGTACTTTGATCTCATCATCTATGAGGTAAGTGAGTCTGTCAACTCAGCAAAGTACTTTAATCTCACCATCTATGAGGTAAGTGAGTCTGTCTACTCAGCATGGTACTTTGATCTCATCATCTATGAGGTAAGTGAGTCTGTCAACTCAGCATGGTATTTTCCTTTGTGTATACCAGGTGCAGAGGTTTAATGAAAATAAATTCTTGTCACTGAACACAATTGATCGTAAAGCATTTGAATTATTACTTTAATAATGAGAATTCTGTTGTGCATGAAGGCAGTGAGGGATCGCCTCAATTGGCATTACACTATGACCAACCTGATTCACCACACTGTTTGCGTGCATAATACTTTATTAGATTGTCGGCATGACTTTGTATTACATTCATTATTGTGTGTTATCCCAATAAAAATGCGGTAATTTTTAAAGTTCTCCATATTTTTTAGAATTATGTTTTTGTTAGTGATTGGGCAGAAAAAATGAAATGTATTTACAAGGATACTGGAGTTGAGTACTTCGGACTGAATACCGGTGCCAAGCCGTTTGGTGTCAGTATTTATGGTGACTACAACCAACCAACAGCCCCATGTAAGTATCTATCTGTAATGGAAAGTAAAAAAAATGGCTTCCATTATAAGTCAATGAAAGCATCATCTTTGGATTGAGTAATGCTTGTGAGAATCTTACAGGGTGAATGTTTTTTTAAATATTTTATAAATTTATTTTAGGCCAGACTTTTTTTATTCCTTGTTTCTCGAGTTTTTATAAGGCAATTTTTTTGAGGAGGGCAAAAAAAATATAAAATTAATTCTTTTTTTCCATTAGATTTATGTGATTCTCAAAGAATAGTAAGTGAGATCATTGATCGGAGAGAAGAAATGAAATAAAATTTTATTCCATGTATAACCTTGTTGCTAATCTGCGCGAGACTTTCTGTACTTTGATCATGATACTCCCAATAAAATGTTATGCCTTGGGATTGCCTAAAAGTGGTCACTATAGACAGGTGGTTTTCATACACAGGTTGCTCATTTGTTATGCCTTAGGACTATCCTAATGTGGTTTCTATAAGCAGGTGGTCTTTATATAGAGGTGGTCACTAACACAAGTTTGACTGTATGAGGTTATTATGACCACATTTGTGTAACAGATAATACTAATGTATATTTCTTAAACAGCTGCTTGTGCCGATGCTCCATGCAGTGACTTATGTGTTACTGATATTAGTGAGTACACATGTCTATGTACTGAACATGCGTATCTACTGGATGATGGTAGAACCTGTCAAAAAGGTTAGTTTTCAGTTTCCCTCATATCTTGAGTTGTGATGGTGTAAATGTATGGAAGATTATATTTCTTTGGTTTACCATATTTGCTCTGTTAGTAGCACATGTACTCACTTTGAATGACAGAGGTGTGTCTGTGTCTAAAGTAAGTCGTATTTTAATGATTGTGTATACAATACATACAACTGTTGGTTGGCATGCGCTCCTATTGGAGATGTGCTTCTAATAGAGCAAATACAGATAGAAATATAGATAGAGCAGATAGAAAAATGTTTTTTTTTATTGGCGCAATTTTTCGTAGTTATTTTTTGACACGCTCATAAGTCATTGTTTTCATATATTCAGACAACACTCTGCAATCTCCGCTGTTAATTTGGTCCACCACCAATTCTATCTGTACTCTACCGGTTCACATGGGTAATATGCACTTGCCGAATGACACATATAATTACCACTGTTTGCTGAGCGGTGAAGACCACGTAGTGGCAATTGACGCTGACATTCATGGCAAGTTCCTCTACTACTCGGATTACCAGCAGAGGGTAATAAAAAGAGCAAGATTGGTTGACGGGGAGACAACAGTTATTATAAATGGTGGAATCGGTAGTGTAGAAGGTCAGTGTCAACATCCGATCCAAATATTTTTTGTATTTATACATTTTATTAGTCCCTGTTTGGAGGCAGTCTGAAAACGGGGACTTATGTTTTGACCTCTGTGTGTCCATGCTCCTGTGCGTCTGTGGTTCTAGTGCCATATCTATGACTTGCTTTGACTGATTATGTTCAAATTTTATATATTCATTATACATCATATCATAGATATACAGATA